CTACAACTGAATCTGACATTGAAGAAACTCTTAAGAGACTTGTGGTTGATTTCAAGAAATCTCCACAAGAGGTTTTTGATGCACTGAAGAATCAGACGGTGGATCTGGTTTTTACTGCTCATCCTACACAAGCTGTTCGAAGATCATTACTTCAAAAGCATGGAAGGTGTGTTCTCAATTATTATGTCTATTCGAATATTTGCAGGATCAGTGGGCTTCGAACCATGTTACTTAATTAAGTTTGATTTCCTTTTAAGCTTAGCCAAACTTGCTCTACATGGTGAAGAAGAAGCATATCACAAGTTTGGTTGCTATAATATATAAAGTCTAATGAAGCACCTTTAATCTGCTCAATTCATTTACTTACATTTCTTCTCTGAATCTCAACTCCATCTTGTTCAGAATTCAGAACTGTTTAGCCCAGTTGTATGCCAAAGACATTACGCCTGATGATAAACATGAGCTTGACGAGGCCTTACAGAGGGAGGTAAATTTCGGTGCTTAATTAGTATCCTTTCTTAATTTATTGACACACAGGTAGACACACATGGTTTTTTCCATTTTTGCCGTTATTATTTGTTTATTTATTTGTATGTCTTCTAAACTAGTAAAGCATCATAATTATGTATTGTAAAGCTCAAAATTGAGAGAACATCTTTCTTATACTACTGTTTCCTTTAATATTTGGTTGCAGATTCAAGCGGCTTTCCGAACCGATGAGATACGAAGAACTCCTCCAACCCCACAAGATGAAATGAGGGCTGGAATGAGCTACTTCCATGAAACAATCTGGAAGGGTGTGCCAAGGTTTATGCGTCGTGTTGATACAGCACTTAAGAATATAGGGATTGACGAGCGTGTTCCTTACAATGCTCCACTCATACAATTCTCGTCTTGGATGGGCGGAGATCGTGATGGTATGAATGATCGTGCAACTCTTGTGAAAAGATCTATTAACTCTTCTTTTTGAGCTTATCGCTTTAAACATGTTTCAAATCGAATGCAGGCAATCCAAGGGTAACTCCGGAGGTCACACGCGATGTTTGCTTGTTGGCTAGACTGATGGCAGCTAACCTATACTATTCCCAGATAGAAGATCTCATGTTTGAGGTACTCAATGACTGTTTCACGACTTCCGAGATTTTCATATCTTTTTTCTGGTTCAGTTTGAAGACCTTGTAGTCTATATGTGATTAATTTTCTTCTAACTCATTGATTTTGGTAGTTGTCCATGTGGCATTGTAGTGATGAGCTCCGTGTACGAGCAGACAAACTCCATAAATCTTCAAAGAGAGATGCAAAACATTACATAGGTGACCTCTTAATTATGTAATAATTTTACATTTGCTTTTCTAATCTTTTATTAAAGCTAAAAACCTTCTTCCTATGAGTGAAAATTACAGAATTGGAGGCTAATTCAATGACTACTTTCAAATTTCGAATAATTAGAACATTGAATTTTCTTTTCATGCAGAGTTTTGGAAACAAATTCCAGTGACCGAGCCCTATCGTGTCATCCTTGGCAACGTGAGGGATAAGTTATATCAGACACGTGAGCGTTCACGTCATTTATTAGCCCATGGAACATCTGAGATCCCAGAAGAGGAAACTTACATGAATGTTGAGGAGGTATCTTCAAATGCTGCACTCACTCAGATGCACACACTCAAATTCATATATAACTTTCATGACTTTACTTAACTGGTCTATAAGTTTCTTCCTAACATACGGTAAAAATCATTTCATAAAAGTAGTTTAATTATGTACAAAAAAATGCATGACATTGTGAAATAGCTGTTCTGTGTTTGCTCTGCGCCTGCAATGTTTTAATCTGTGTATGAACTTGCCAACATCTATGCAAATCTTTGAATTTGAATAATGCTCTTCCATTTATATGTAATTTAAATCGGTAAATTCCATAAAATAAGGTACTATCTGAATCAGTTTTGAATTTCATGCAGTTCCTGGAACCTCTTGAACTCTGCTATAGATCGCTTCGTGCTTGCGGTGACTGCTCAATAGCTGATGGGAGCCTTCTGGATTTTCTAAGGCAAGTTTCCACGTTTGGGCTCTCACTTGTGAGACTTGATATAAGACAAGAGTCAGATAGGCACACTGATGTCCTAGACGCCATTACCAAACACTTAGAAATTGGCTCGTATCGAGAATGGTCAGAACAGCAAAAGCAGGAATGGCTCCTGTCCGAACTTAGAGGAAAACGACCCCTATTTGGATCTGATCTTCCACAGACCGAGGAGATTGCTGATGTTTTGGATACATTTCATGTATTAGCAGAACTCCCGCCTGACTGCTTTGGAGCATACATTATTTCAATGGCCACAGCACCATCTGATGTGTTAGCTGTTGAGCTTCTACAGCGTGAATGCCACGTGAAGAAACCTTTGAGAGTCGTTCCGCTCTTTGAGAAATTAGCAGACCTCGAGGCTGCTCCTGCTGCCGTTGCATGCCTTTTCTCGGTCGATTGGTACAGAAACCGGATTAACAGTAAGCAAGAAGTCATGATTGGGTACTCGGACTCTGGCAAAGATGCTGGTCGGTTGTCAGCAGCTTGGCAATTATACAAGGCTCAGGAAGAACTTGTCAAAGTTGCAAAGCAATATGGAGTGAAGCTGATTATGTTCCACGGTCGAGGTGGAACTGTGGGAAGAGGTGGCGGCCCCACCCACCTTGCCATACTGTCTCAACCTCCAGACACTATAAATGGATCTCTTCGTGTTACAGTTCAGGGAGAGGTAATTGAGCAATCATTTGGCGAGGAACATATGTGTTTTAGAACACTCCAACGTTTTACTGCTGCTACACTTGAACATGGAATGAGGATCCCAGTCTCCCCAAAACCTGAGTGGCGTGCACTTTTGGATGAAATTGTTGTTGTGTCCACAGAGGAGTACCGCTCAATTGTCTTCAAAGAACCCCGATTTGTTGAATATTTTCGCCTTGTAAGTAACTATAAATGGTACTTCATATTTGTTCCTTGTCTCGAAGGATAATTTGAATAAGCAATATATTTATTTTCATTACTTAGGCCACACCAGAATTGGAGTATGGTCGGATGAACATTGGTAGTCGTCCATCAAAAAGGAAACCAAGCGGAGGCATTGAATCGCTAAGAGCAATTCCATGGATCTTTGCCTGGACGCAGACGAGGTTCCATCTCCCTGTTTGGCTTGGCTTTGGGGCAGCATTCAAGTACGCCATCAAAAGGGACATTCAGAACCTCGAAATACTGCAGGAAATGTACAACAATTGGCCTTTCTTTCGAGTCACAATTGATTTAGTAGAGATGGTGTTTGCCAAGGGAAACCCTCGTATTGCTGCTTTGTATGACAAACTCTTAGTTTCCGAAGATCTATTGTCATTCGGTGAGCATTTGAGGGCAAACTATGAAGAAACAAAAAGTCTTCTGCTCCAGGTAGGTACATTTTATGTCGTTTTAAGAGTAAAGTTACAAGATTTTATCGAACTTGTTCCTCGTTTGGTAGATTGCTGGACATAAGGATCTCCTAGAAGGAGACCCCTACTTGAAGCAACAACTTCGTTTACGTGATGCCTACATTACGACCTTGAATGTGAGCCAGGCTTACACTCTGAAGCGAATCCGGGATCCAAACTACCATGTGCCGCCACACATTTCCAAGGAATACATGGAAACAAAACCGGCCAATGAACTTGTGAAGTTGAACCCTACGAGTGAGTATGCCCCAGGGTTGGAGGACACCCTTATCTTGACCATGAAGGGCATTGCTGCTGGAATGCAGAACACTGGTTAAATTTACTTCGTTTTCTTTTTAATCTCTTTGTATGAGAATAAGACTTAGTGCCGGTTTGGTCACTGTTGTGCTATGAACATGTTACTCGAAAACATGCTTTATGAATAAGACTTACGAAAACATGTTACTCATATTCCCATGTTCAGTAGACTTGACGTTGATTATAATCCGAATGATTCTTATAGTTGCTGCTGGAATGCAGAACACTGGTTAAATTTACTTCGTTTTCTTTTTAATCTCTTTGTATGAGAATAAGACTTAGTGCCGGTTTGGTCACTGTTGTGCTATGAACATGTTACTCGAAAACATGCTTTATGAATAAGACTTACGAAAACATGTTACTCATATTCCCATGTTCAGTAGACTTGACGTTGATTATAATCCGAATGATTCTTATAGTTTTACAAGTCTCTTCCTCTTTACACATGGAATGAATAGCAAAATCCTAATCGAATCCACCCGAAACTCGTAAGAACATGCCTTACTAATGCTTGACTAAACAAGCAAGCATTGTAGTCATTCAGATACTGCTGAGTTAGTAGGTTAGTGATATGTATCCGAATGATTAACACTAGTGCCTAGATGGTGTTAGTCCCATATTAAGATTCAACCAGTACCAAAAGTATAAAGTAAAACGAAAAATCGTTAAAAGACCAAGATTTCTCAAAATACAAAATAAAAGTTTGGATTAAAAAAATCGAGTCTCACACAGAGAACAAAAATAAGAAAAACTCTTACAAAAGTTCAATGTTTGAAACCTCTCACTAAGAGGAGTTTGCAATACGCACATAAAACTTCATCTTTTACACAATTATTACGCATAAAATCGAAGAATGAAAGAAGAAGATGAAGAGTAGAAAGTGAGATAACCAAACTAAACAAAAGCAAGTCGATGATAGATCCAACTTTATGTAAATTGATGAAAGTTATTCACCCTTTTATAGTTCGCTTTTCTTGACATTCACACTAATTAATTATGATTTAAACAAAACTTCGAGATTCGAAAAAATGAAAATAAAGACATTATACTTTCGTAACCTCAACCCAGTAGTGGATTTCGAAGTCAACGTTTATTACAATAGTCATTTGATAAGTAAAATGAATTATATAGCTTGTATAAAATTATTATTTTTATTTTCTATCGGGTGAAATTCACAAAATCCTAATAATCAAAGCCCCATTCTGCAAAATCTAAAAAGTCCAATTACTTCAATTATTACGATCAAGAGTAGTGGAGAAGAAGTCCATCCGATTCAACAAGGAAGGCCCTTTTATTAGCGTAGACTCTCCGACAGAGAGGAGAGAAAAAAAACATTAGCAAAATTCAATTCGATGGCCAACAGCAATTTACCCCGGAGAATCATCAAGGTAAAACTCTGGATCTTCTTGTTATACCCTCGATCCCTCTTCCAATTTTTAAAAATTAGGCTTGAAATATTTTGATTATTGCGTTTCTTCATTTTTAATGGGTTTTGTTTTTGTGATTTAATAGGAGACTCAGCGTCTTCTCAGCGAACCAGGTAAATCATATTACATCGTTATAATGTTGTTTTTTGTTCGTAGTTATACATAAATTCAATAATTGAGCTTAATAACATGAGTAGTTCGTTCTGTTACTTATAATATTGAGGTAATTCTCTGGTTTATTTTTAATTTTCATTTCTACTTTTCCCCGTGTTTTGGTGGTCCTTGATTTTGTATCATTCTATGGATTTTATATACGAAGGTTTTATCTTTATTTGCAGCTCCACTGCCACGTGAGTTTGGATTTTTAACAGCATTTTTGTGTATAATTGATTTACAGTGCCTAAAATTTATTTATCTCTGTTTCAATATTTCTTTAAAAATATAAATAGGAGCTGTTTACAATTGTTGACATATTATGGGCAGTTTAGTTATAGGATCAGAAGGATTCCAGCTAAGTTATGTAGTTATGCCTGAATTTTTGTGGCAGTTGCAGGGATTTCCTAATCCATCGAAACTTAACTGTTTTAGAAGCTAGCCCTAATTAATTAGAGTTTAATTTATTTGAGTGTTTTTATGCAGCACCTGGGATAAGTGCATCTCCATCGGAAGACAATATGCGGTATTTCAATGTAATGATTCTTGGTCCAACACAGTCTCCCTATGAAGGTAACTGGAGATGTCATTTCGTTGTGACTAAATGGTTGTGTGAGCAAGGATGATGTTTCATCATCTGATTTTTGTGGTTCAAAAATAACGTTTCTACTTTGAACTTTCTCATATTCTGTCATTGCATCCTCTTCTCTCTATTTGATAAGAATATAGTTATCTGTGTACCCTTCTACTTTTCTATTATACATGTTTAATCTGGAATTTACAAGTTTGAAAATTTTGAGGTGATAAGTGATCCTCCATGGCATAGGTAGTGTGCTTATGGTACATTTTCTGGGAATTATTGGCTAAATTTGTTATTGAAGTTCTTAATGCTGTGTGAGAATGAGTGTCCATATAAACATCTGATTCCTTATGATTATGATAGACCTCTATCCTTGTGCAAATTTTGCTTTGCTTAATACTGTTAGTAATTGGATTTTGTCATTGAAAATAGATGACTGTATTGTGGAAAACCACTTCGCTTTCTTGTTAAGCAAGTACATTTCTAGACGTCAAAGATATTCTTTGCACATGAACAGTGTACAGGGATCAACATTATTCATATTCTAAATGCCCATCAGAGGGTGTTACAAATTTTAATTTTTTTGAATCAATTTCCATCTTGTCATTTTCTCATTTTGACCTTTCTTTGCAGGAGGTGTTTTCAAGCTGGAATTATTTTTGCCAGAAGAGTACCCGATGGCTGCTCCCAAGGTATCTATGAAAGGCTGTATATGATGGCATGATTATTCACACAATTTGTTGTGAAAAATACTTGATGGACACACTATATATTTACTTTTTGGTTTCTTTTATGCCACACAGTTGCCCCCTTTTGTTTTCGCAAGTTAACCGAGTTTAAAACTTAGGATTGAAGCAAAGCAAATAAGTCTAGAGAATTAAGAAGTGTACGCCTCACAAGTCTTGAGGCATGGCCATCACTTAGCGGGTCCTAAATTCGTGGATATTCTCATAATCAAGTTGCTTTAAGGTCTTTTCATCGTTTTTGTTAATTCCACTGCGTGACCTTGCTGCTGTAATAGTTTTTACCCCCACATTCCACCCCGTACACAAAAATATTGAGAAAAAAAAATAGAAGAAAGAAAGAGAGCGAGAACGAGAGGAAAAAGAGATTATATGTCAAGTTATGATTGAGTATTGTGATGTTTTGTTCCTTGGGTAATAGCAGGAGCTTTGATTTTGAGCCTTTCCCTATCAAGACTTTTAGTGTTCAACAGCTGCATTTTCTACATGGTTCTTAAGCCGAATTAGTGTCTGAATTATATGGGTTCCAGAAAGTCTACCCCACCAACCAAATGAATATTTATACGATACCCATGTCATCTGATTGTCTCTGGGGAAACTCTTTAATTTGTTAATTTGGCATTCGTAGATCATGCTTTGTGGAGTGCTTATGCAGCAATGCCGAGGACTTGATGAGAACTGCTGATTTAGCGTTGGTCCCACCGTCCTAGTATTTGCCTTCTTTACTGTCTAATATGTCTCAGTGGAACCTTGAAGAAACTACACTGAAATAATATATTAAATTAGCTGGTTCTGGAAATTCACTTATTCGGTGGGGATTTATTTAGCTACATTATAATCCTATCCCTTTTGCAGCAAAGTTTGGATTTGTGTGTATTCACGCATTTTTGACAAGTAAAAGTTGTGTGTCCATACTGATGATTTTACACCAGACTTTATTCCATTTTTTATGCTAAACAATGTGTATAATGTGCTGTAGTACTTCACTTGTGCAATCACATTTTAAACAACATTCTATGCATGGACTTTCCTGACTGCCAGCGATTTAGCCCCTATTTGATGGCCATTATTGATAAAAAATGATGTTTTGAATGGTGATTTTTTTGGAGAATGTATGGTTAAAAAGCATGGAGAAGTTTTTGGATGTACGTGCAAAATATTTTATTTTGTGAATATATGGTTAAAAATGAGAGAGAATTAAAGAATTTTGTTTTAAAGGGGAACAAACAGGGGCTTAGTGTTGTGTGAGTATGTCTTATATGGCATAATTGATACAAATATTTAGCTTCGGTGGTCTGTTTGAAGTGAACACCTTGCGTCTGTCCTGCAAATTTTCCTATCGTCTTGACTATACATGTATGACTCACAATTGTAACATTCCCTCCATAGCCCAATTGGAAATTATATTTTAAGCTGCAAGATTTACAACTTCACGTCCTTGTAATTGGGTGTTTCTTCATCTTTGCGTGCTTTCTTTACCTCTCTACTGTTCTTAGCTGTCAAAGTGGGTACAAACAGGCCAGCTGCCTTGTTTAATGATGTTTTATGAATATTATTACAGTACGTCCTGGAGGAGTTATTCCTCTTGATATCATTGAATAACCTGAATACATGGTAAGTGGATGGCTACAATTGCTGCAATCTTCACAAGGCGAATTGAAGTTTTTATGATCATGTCACCTTGATGGAAATAAAAATCAAGGCTTTATTTGCATCAATTCTTAGTAATTGTAATTAGTGAAAAAAAGTCTGATCAGATTTTGAAGTTATTGTATTAGTTGAATGATGCAGAGCTGACTCTGTTGTTAACATCTTGTAACAGGTCCGGTTCCTCACCAAAATATACCACCCTAACATTGATAAGGTTCATACTTCATTACCCTAGTTTCAAGTCTCAGTCTCAGTCCAAAATTTGATTATCTTACTGTTGGGTTTTTTCTAAGCAGCTTGGAAGGATATGCCTTGATATTCTTAAAGACAAGTGGAGTCCTGCTCTTCAGATTCGAACAGTTCTTTTGAGGTACTAGAATCTATAGATTCTATTTTACAAATGCTTTTCACATCTATGTAAATTTGTGGAAATGACGTAGAACTATAGAAAATGTATTTTTCCTACCTTCATTATTAACCTCAAACTGAGATAACTGAATTGTTTGAAGAAAAATGATTCATGTAGCCGGCCCCAAATTTATGTGGAATACATTTTAGTTTGTTGTTTTCTGATGTATATGGTGGAAATGCGACCCTCCAACTTAGCTAATAGCCAATTATCACTGCTGCGCATGTTATATTTTATAAATACCCATAAATTCACTATTCTGTTTCCTCCATTTAGCATTCAAGCACTTTTGAGCGCTCCAAATCCAGACGATCCACTCTCTGAAAACATTGCTAAGCACTGGAAAACAAATGAGGCCGAAGCTGTAGAAACAGGTAAGCTGTTACCGTACTTATAGAGTTAACATGTCTTGCTTATAAGGCCAAAACTCAATACTTATGGAAGTTCGTATTCTCTAAAATCCTGCAGCAAAAGAATGGACACGTTTATATGCAAGCGGTGCATGAAGTACATGGAACTCGTGGCTTTGATATAACAAAAACATGTATTTGATTGATGGAAATATCTAAAACTTTGATGGAATTGATGATGCTCAAACTAATGGGAATTCAAATTAATGCTCTCAAAGGCTATAAATTTATTTCCTGCTTTCGAACTATGTAATTGAAATTCTATAATGAGCCCGGATACTCTTGTGTTTTTTGTTCTTCTTTGCTCGATTTTACCTTGAAATTGGCAAATTTGTTGTTTAGATGAATTTGACTTAGTTTACAATTATTAGCAGTAATGTGTGTGGAAAAATACGGTTTGGTTGGTTCTAAATTTCAAATTTATACTGTACCACTGACATAGCCTCCTAAAATGTTGACCCTCTTTTTTCCTTGTGTTGGGGATTTCACACTTGTAGCCGTTACATGTCTTTGACTATATTGCTAGCTTCTTGTGATTAAGATGCCACTTCTCGAGAAGCTTAGGACAAAAACAAAAAATGCAAGAAAAATGAATTTTATAGGTCTCTGTGTTTCAACTTTGTAGTTGTAGTAGATAATGTCCCTTAATTTGAAATAGTATTGCTCCGTTTAAGTAGGCTTCTATATTTAATTGGTGTGGGACTTTTTTTGGACTTTAGAAATTGCAGGTTGATTTAGTAAGATCGAGTTTCGATTATCTCATCTGTAACCAGTTCTATTTGACGAGGGTATATTGATCCTTATTATGGCATTCGACCATGAGAGCAACGTCGTTGCCCCTTGACAGAGTTGGCTATGTCTTGGGTTTTGGTGGGATCCATGAAACACTACTAGGAGTAATCTTGAGAGGAGGTTTCTTTGTTGATTGCTATATGTCGTTTCGCTATGTTAAATAATGTCTTACATACTGATAACGCTTATTGATGCGTGGGAATAATTTTCAATTTCATTTTTCTAAAATGATGCTTTTAAAGAAATACGTGTGTGAATCAGACGTATATTTTTCTCGGAAAAAATAAATAAATTCACACGTGTATACTTTTTTTCGAAAAAAAGGAAAAAAAAATCTTATAAAATGAAGAGCAAAACCCGCAAGAAAAACAATAAGGTCTTGCTTAATAGGTTTCATTTTTCATGGAAAATTTTCTGCCGAAATGATATGTTTTGACACTCAAAATTTTCTATGGAATTGATTTTTCACTCGACCACATTTTTCAAGTTTTTAAGAAATTGATTTTCCTTAGGTTTTGGTGGGAATTGGGTTTTCCAAACACCTTTTTTTTTTTTTTTTTTTTTTTTTTTGCAATAGAAACAAATTTTATCCCTTTGATTGACAATGTTCATGGAAAACAAAGCTAAATGAACTGATATCAAAAGGTTCAAAATTTCAACATTTTTCAGGTGAAAAATTATACCAATCAAACGCATGTAATTGACAATTTTTAATAAAATAAGTTCTAGACAATTCAATAACTTGAAATTCATTTTCTTTCCATCAAATTTCATTCTTTTAATCAAACGAATCCTAACTGAAACACGCTCAATGCGTTAACCCAGGTCTTAAGACATGCCTTCGTCACCATTCAGAAGTATAGGAGGATGGGATTCATTTCTAACGGCTATATTTCTGCTCAGTTCTTGGATTATCAGTCAGCTTGCAGAGACGCTCATTATTATTATCATCAACTTCTGTCATTATTATTATTTTTGTGGGGTCTTTTGGATTCTCCTTTGTTTGGACAATTGTGATCACTCCGCATCACTTATTTTTGGAATGGTAGAATGCACAGATAAGTCTAAAATATATTGGCGTTTGTAACGTCTGTATATTAGCATACCAAACATGTCTTTAGCGTTCTTAGAGACGTGGGAATTAAATTTGGTATCTACTATTTCTTAGTAACACAAGTCACAAGCGCAATGAATGAAAACAGGAGTATTCATTGCAAGGGTACACGAAGTCAGCTTCAAATGAATGGGCATGGCTGGATTCCCATGATCTTTTGGACAATTTTGTCTATGATTATGGCCTATGTGGGGACAATTTGGAAGTTAGCCAACTTTAATGAACTGTAGAAAAACCCTCTACAACAGGCTCCTTGACAATAACATTTCAAATATCGAGTGTTCGATAGGAAATTGGAAGACAAAATTATTCTAAACACAAACGAACGAAAATACCCCACCCCAAGAGTATAAAGCCAAAACGATGAATTTCAAAAGATCCAAGAGAGAAATAGAGATACCCCCTACATTACTAATAATACAATACTTTTTACTTATAATATGTAAAATTATCGACGTAATGATGAAATCTAGCTATTGTTTCCCTCCTAAGGACAGGTTCTTATGCTTACTCAACTATTCACCAATGATAACACCACTTTCCGTCCAACTTGCATGTATTAAGCATATTGCAAACGTTTATCTTGAGATTCGATCAATGTGGGTGGAGCTAGACAGTAATAAACTACATCAACCACACTAATAATCGGATCTAGCTATTGTTTTCCCACATGAGGAAAGGTTCTTATACGTTACTCACCCATCCGCCACTAAAAAACACCAATTCTCGTCCGACTTGCATGCATGTAGCATACTGCCAAAGTTCATCTTGAGCTTCAATCGGGGTGGGGTTGCCGGGTGGGGACAGTCTAGCTAGACACGAATGAATTACATCAACTATACCCCACTCGCCAACCCACCTTTTAATAAGGAAGACCAACCATAAATTAAAAACAGAAAGGGTCTCGAATTATGTAGGAAATAAATGTATTTAATACATTAAATATCAAATGATGAAAAAAATTGACAGGTTTTATTGATAAAATAATTGAGCAAATAAGCTTCAAATATCAATGGACATCCACTTTCCACCAATGTTGTATGCAATGTACAGATCCTCAGTGCAAAAGCCACATAGCCAAGCCAGTAATCCATGTCTCTCTATGTCCAAATTTCAGCTATGGAGACAACTTATAATTATATATACTAATAGCTACTCGCTCTCAGACGAAGATACAATAGAAGTACGAGGCCGGCCTATAGGAAAATGGGAAGTAACAGGCGAAGTGGAATACGATGAATGAATGAATAAATAAAGAGAGCAAAAGGGTACTAAGCTATGTCTTTTAACTCGGCTGGCAT